GCCGGAGGGACCTGAGCTAGGTTTACCCAATGCTCCAAGGGGATGCAGAAGAGACTACATTTCACAACTGAATTATATTCATTTGCCATTTCAATGAAATATGATTAACCATGGGAAATCAAGGTTGATCCATGAAAAAGGACAAACTTTGGAAATATGATGGAAAACCTCAGACTCTCTCCTTTCGCAAGACCTAAACAACAGACCAAGTCTGATTTCCAATTAGATTGTTCAGTAATGAGTCAAGTAGATGTCTACCAGAAACAATGGAAACTGTGGACTTGAAACTATACACCTTCCTCAGTAGGTTACTATGGACTGTGCAAGATGTACTTACGTAAGAGAAAATTTGATTTATGTCAATTGTTACAATTGGAAGTTATTTTAAGAATGATTTGTATAACCCATTTTCATGCAAGAGAGATTTTTCTCTCTGTGATCATCTTTTTTCAACCTGCTGTGTAAGTCTCTTAACAGCTAAACTGCATCCAGTGGGCAGAGCCATAGAACTGAATAATTACATTCAATATTAGAGGTTCGTGATGCTCTTGTTACAGTGAGCAAACTAAAAATTTACCATGATCCTCAAGAGCAGAGGAAAAAAAATATTATTCTATTGAAAATATAAATTAAGACCCCAGGTAAAGATGACAAAATAGGAGTCTAGTCCTAAATTCCTTCTAAAATGCCTGCAGCAAGATGCACACTTTGGCATTGTCCAGCACAACAGAGATCCTTGCCATTCAATAGCATCAAAAAAATCCCTTGCAACTGTCAGCATACAAGCCCCCTTTACCATCCTGTAGCAAAAGCCCTGCTAGCATACACCTGCAGCTTGCATATACTTAAAACTTGCTGGGCTTGGGTAGAAGTGATTTTCTCATAAGGAATCTAGGAGTTCAAAAGTGAGGAAGGGAACATTTATCCCAAACAGACTGCATTCAGCCATCGGGATCACTATCACAATCAGTTTCAAACATTTCCTACACCTAGTATTCTTATCTAAGAGCAGCATCACCACGAAAGCTTAGAGGAACATCATCTCCATTACCCAAGAAAATCTGTTTTTGTAGCTTCAAATACTTCTCCAAATCAGATCCAGATTAATCATCTATTCCACTAATGGCCAATTTATTCTTGTATGTCTCTTGAAGAAAACAGTTTATTTATCAAGCCTCAAATCATTCTTCCCATTCTGAGGACTTGTGAATTAAAAAAGGTCATCACTGATTCCCAAACACGCATTTACTGATTATTTCATTAACAGTCTAAGAACAAATATTCAGAAGACTTAGCACGGTTTATTGCCAGGCTAATTACTTGCCTACGCTATTGTTTAAATTACACAGGAATGTGTTGACACTGCTCTTGTTCAGTGACTGGACCAGCTGTATTTGCTGTGGTAGTCAATGTTGTTTCCAGTATTAATTGTACATTATTAAAAACTGTGTTAAAACAGTGACACCCAAATACTAATATATTCAAGTAGACTCTCATTAGTTGATACAATTGCTTCTATCAAGTTAGTTAAAATACTCTAGTTAGTTTATTGCCTCAGTGAATTTGCTTAAATGCTTCCTTCAAATTTTATTGACAGTATAACGCTGGCTATACATTCAGCCCTCCTTCCTTCAGTATATTATTAGCAGAGCTCATAAGTGAATATTAAATATTAAGAAAGGTTGGCATTCGTTACTGTTAGTGATAACTGTATGCACAGAATTTTAATGAAATGGTTAGCCAGCTTTTCATAGCCAGCAGTGGAGAACTCCAAAAGCAAAATGGATTATGGTCTGTATTTGCATACATACTTACAGATCTTTTTCAGAACTGTAATAGATGTAGAATATTA